CCCGCCCAAAATGACAAACACTGCTTGTTGGCCTGGAGTAACGTTACGGACTTTCAGACTCGCAAGCCAACTCCTGTGAACTACAACCACATCCCCCGACCCCCTTGTATTTGTATGAAGGTCCTGACATGTTTCAAAGTCTAGTTTTCTACATGTATCCGCCAGATGTAAGGAATGGGGGATGTTAATGTCAATGGTTGGGGTCTGGGTCTGTGTAGTGTGTGACAGTGAAACGTGTGTGAGAAAGTATTGAGACTCATGACTTCACCACCACAGGTTTTTTTAATCAGGCGCCTCGACAGTTCATGAGCAAGTGCACCCAGAGAGCGACTTGCACTCTGCAGGTGCACTCCAGAAGTGTCCACCAACAATTCTTTACCTTTTACTGAGACTCTGTTCAATACTGTCACACTATTTATGCTTTCTTTTTCTTTGAACCATGGCAACTCTGATCCCTCAGTCAAAACTGCACCAGGCATCAATTCAATCTTAGATGAAGGGTTTCTGTTTCGACCGATGGTTTACAGGCAAAGCAGATTATGAGCTAATCATCACCTCCATCTAGATAAATTCTTTTCACTTTTTAATGATTTGACCCAAAAAAAAAATCATTATAAACTCCATCGCTGTTCCGAGATGTGCTCAGCGATCCTAACTTACCCTTTCAGACCGTTAGTCCCTATGGATGATTATTTTCCAAATAATTATTTCCATCTGTAGGGAGGTGATCACGTTGGCGCATGAAATGCTCCGTTACACGCAACCCTTGCCCGATTATATAAATTGGATAACAAGGTGGATGTAGTTGGCGAGCCCTTTTAACTCTTTCAAACTGCATCCCTGACAGCCACGTCTGCTTTTAGAGATTAGAACCAGCGTTGACAAGAGGCTGAAGATGCAATTGCTAACGGAAGGTTGTTGACTGGGTTAGAGTTGCCTGCATCTTCACAGCAAAGACTTGACATGCAGTATCCTAAGAAGTCTGTATGGATTAAAATCTCTGTGCATCTCAGCAGTCCGACGCAGCTCACTCTCCATGTTCACTTTTCCTTCGTCTCTCTCTCTATCCGATGGTGGTGGGAACGGTTAAACAAATGTCTTAGTTGTGCTCTGGCACATTGCCTTTCACTTCACACTGATTAGTGTAAGCGACGGGGAAAGGGAAGCAACAGAGAGTGGCCAGGACTGCTGAGATTTTGGCGTACACATGTACATGTAGATGCAATGTAATATTACCCCTCATTGCAATACAATGAGGGATTTTAAACTGGCGACTGCTGTTTAGAGAAAGGTGGCAGCCCCTCTATGTCCTGGCTGATTCATGTGAGCAGTGGCCCTCTGAATGGACACCTAGCTACCGGTGGCCAAAGGGAACCACTGCCCAGCTTTTGTTTTTGTTTTTTGTTTTGGTTTTTTTTTGACATTTTTATGTAAATATATTTTTTTCTATTTTATTTTTTAATAAACATTTTAAAACTGCCAGTCAGTGTGTGTTTTTTGAAGGGAGAGTGAGATGATATAGGTACTTAAAGGCAATAATAAATGTTTGGCCACCTGGGGGCAGCCCAACAAACTATAAACATGTATACAGTTGTTATGGTGAAAATGTTAGCAAACAGTTGGGCCCCCTACACATGCATTACAACGTGTAAAAATAGTCTGCTTGGAACAATAATAAGTGTCTGATATGTTTTGTTCTGCAGCACAACGCACAAAGCTCTGATTAAACTGTCAAAATAGA